AGTAAACTGCATGCAAAAAACTCTGTTGGAGTTCTGGTAAAATTATAAAAAGTGAGTACCACATTTTTTTCCTGTTCAGGGTAATGTTTGCATGTGTTCAATGATTATAGTGTGAATACATTAATGAGCATGTTGTTTTGTTTTGTCTCAAATATGTTTATGTCTTGGTTTAGTTATTATAGTATACCTTGATTAAATGGAAACCTGGCTTCGGCGGAAATTTTTTCTGGACAATCCGTTTAGTTTTACTGTATGTTACAATACATCTATCCTAGACCTCCATACAACAATATAATAGTTTCATGGTCTGGTCCACTGTGCCAAATGTATATCCAGCTTCCAAAATGTGCTTTGTAAATATATATATAAATGCTATCAGGACTAATAAACAACATTCTAAATTCATTTTTGCAGTTGGTATCTACAGTGTATCATTGAAGATGAGATGGATCCAGAATTGATATTCTTCTCTGATGAAGCACGGGTTCACTTGCAGGGATACATAAATACAAAAAATTACTGCTACTGGAATCCACCTAATCCACATCTAACCCATGAAGTATGGCGCCATCCAGTGAAGTTGGACTTTGGCGTGCTCTGAGGGCAACAAGGGTTGCTCTACCGCGTTTTTTAAAGGAACAATTAATTGTGAAAGATATGTACAGGACATTCTCAGACAATTCTCTTGAGACTTACAAAAGAAGAAAGACTCTATGGCTGGTTTCAGCAAGACTCAGTTACTGCCCACTGTACGTACGTCTATGTAGGCTTTGTCTGGTATCTTTGGGGACAGAAATATCAGCACTGGTATCTGGCAGGAAAATTCACCCGACTTTTAATTCTTAGATATTTCTTCTGTGGTTCTTTGCAAGGCAAAGTAAACCCCATAACTAAAAGAAATATTCATAGGGAAATAGTAAAAATTCTGGCACAACAGCTTTAACAGTTAATCAGAACCCCTTCTGCTGGTGCAAGAAATGTCTACATGTGAGGGGACCGCATTTTCAGCAACTTCTTTGACCTGTGAATTGTATACTTCATTCGAAACTTTACTGGCCACAGGCATACTGATTCATTGGCAAAATCTGTATGCACCCTGCGGCCAGTGGTGCATCCGTCATTGTGAACCGGCCGAGAAAAGTAAGAACCTCCGTCTATATGGAGATGTAGAAATTTTCTTTGATGTTCAATACTAGCTTTATTTGTGTGTTTAATTACATCCATTGTAGATTCCACTTCACCACCATTTTGTCTAATTTTAGGATGTGTTGCCAATGCCAATTCTTCACTATTGCTTTCTACACTTCTTACACATTCTCTGTATCTAATGTTTAGTCACGTTTCTGTCTAACAGAAAACAGCAAAAATATCTGTCATGACAACCAAACACCTGACAGCAGGTAGAGAGGCAACTCCAACAGTGTCAGGTATATTAAATTTACTTCAAACAAAAGGGCAACAGACAACACGTGTCTATAATGTCACACAGTCACAAATCTTTGGAGAATCATTAGTTATCCTCTAACAAATCCTCAACACAATGACACATCTATGTTATTATACAGATAAAGACTGCAAGGGAGACAGAAAATAAAAGATAAACTTCAGCATTTATAGATCCTGGGAACCCTATGATGTAGTACCAAAGCACTGCTTAGTGGATTGGACAGACAAGGAAAATGTGAAGGATTGTTCCTGCTATGGAATTTACTGCAAGCATTAAGTTCACACGAGATCTATTTTCATCAAAAATATTAGATCTGTTTAATGAAAATGGGAGTGCTACATCACATACAACATTCAACATACTACATCGGGGGGGGGGGACTTCCACAATCTAGTCAACAGCACAGCGGGCTCTGTTTCATATTCACAAAGAAGACAAGCGGCATTTTTGCACAATTGTGTCATACACAGTACACATACATCTCACCTCAGGTTCAGCCTTTATTTCTGGAAATGTTATTTGGAGAGGATCCTCTTCCTCTTCTGCATCTGAGACTGCCTCAGCTTTTACATTCATGGCGTGATCTGCATCATAAGGTGATGGGAATGTCTCACCATATGGATTCACTAAAGCATTCTCCAAATTTGTACAGTTCTGTAAAAACCATTGCATCCTTCTCAAACATGGATGCACAACACCACACATTAAACAGATTATGCTCTCCTTGCTATGGCTGTTTCTCATCACATTTAACTCATAACAGCTGTTTTGTACAGATGCTCTTCTCTACAGCTATCAAGAGCACTAGAAAGTACTCAGTTCATAGCTCAGTGACCTTCCCAAGGAACTATCGGTCACTGCAGCAGTGCAGAAAATAACTGCGTTTTTGGTGCCTAAAACATCATAATGAAGAGCTCCACAACTTGAAACCTTCGTTATCGAGCATAATTATATGATCAAGACAAGGAGGATGAGATGGGCAGCTCATATAGCAGGCAAGGGGGAAAAGAGGAATGTATATAGGATATGACGAGAAGGCCAGAATGAAAGAAACCAACAGGAAGACCTAGGCACATGCGGGAAGATAATATTTAAATGGATCTTTAAGAGACGTAGGATGGGGTGGTGTGGACTGGATTCAAATGGCTCAGGATAGGGACCTGTGACAGGTTCTTGTGAACATGACAAAAAACTTCCAGGTTCTATACAATGCTGGAAAATTCTTCAGTGGCCAAGCAACTGGTGGCTACTCAAGGACTCACTCAACTCCATGGAGTTAGTTATGGTACCTAAGGGCTCATTACTGTGATCACACATGCTCATCATGGCTCTGTATCCTAAGGCAAACAGATCCAGTACAAACCCTTCCAAACTATTTCTTTAAAATCAATGTTAATAGCATCTCTCCATCTGTACTTAGGTCTCCCAAGTGGTCTGCTTCTTTCAGGTTTTCCCTCCAAAACTTTGTATGCATTTCTCACCATTGCATGTGCACTACATGACTTATCCACAACACTCTCCATAAACTCGTTGCTCTCCTACATAATATCCCAAACTGTTATCACCCACGTGTAAGAAACTCCCCACATGGATTATGCAAACAAACAGAAGCAGGTCACAAAATATTTAGTTTCTTTGGCCAAGAGAACTGAAATACAGCAATAAAACTCTTGTCTGTGCAAACAAGCTCAAAACACTCAATAAAGTCCTTTCGCTTACATCAGGAAACTTTTTTTCAGCTCTATACGGTTTTTCAACTGGAAAACACACATTAAATTAATGTTACCCAGATTGGGCAAGGACTGCTTTGCATTAAGAAATATGAAGTTGGGCACTAATATCGAAACACTTAGGATGATATATCACACATATTTTGATTCAGTCATGAGGTATGGGATAGTTTTCTGGGGTAATTCACCAGATGCTAAGAAGATTTTTATCTTACAGAAGAGAACTGTTAGGGTGATGATGGGATTGAAACAAAGATACACATGCAGGCCTGTATTAAAAAACTAAACAGATTAACATTGGTCTCCCAATATATATTATCTTTGATGATTTTTATGATAAGTAATGTTGAGTATTTTATTCTTAATTATGCAATCCATAATAAGACCACAAGACACAGAGGGAATCTACATGTAGTACAGTCACATTTAGAAGGCAAAAAGGAGTCTTATATGTGTGTGTTAAAATTTTCAACAGTTTGCTTCTCTATGTAAGAGATTTGGAACAAGACAGGAAACTTTTCCTAGGAAAACTAAAAGAAATATTAATCAATAATTCGTTTTATTCAGTTGATGAATTTTTGCTTTACTGTAAGGATTTAGTCAGAAATATGTTTATTTATGTATATTTCATTATATTACTGTGCAAATTTATATCTAAATATATGACAACTATAGTTTTTCATTGCATGCATATGTCCCTCCTTGGTGTCTCCACCTTATCGTGGTGAGGGGGTTTGAGTATGCCAAGGACCCTGAGAGCTATACCAGCGGTAGCATAGCTACTGGCAGGGCCTCCCTTGCTGGACAGGTCAAAGGGTAGGCATCAGACGAAGAGAGACACCAAAAACTGATGTCGGAAGCAGCGTCATCAGCAGCGACTTGAAGCACAGAGCAAATGATGCTCGAGATGGTTCAAGTTCGTATAGCAACAGGCGTGACCAGAGTGGTTTGAACGGCTGTTGTACTGCGATGTGGAAAGCAAATGGAAAAACTACCACATTATCACTTTTCCTGGATAGTCTCTTTCCAAAAACAGAAGATCGCATTAAGTGGAGAAACTGTTTTGGAAGAGACTGTGGACCTGTCGCCTGACAGATTACTGATGATGATGATGATATGTGTATATGAGTAGGAAGGAGAATCATTATGTATTGCTAATTATCTTGTTGGTATAATTGTATGTGTAACATTGTATCTATTTATTTGAGGTATTCAGTTTAGAATTTAACTATGGTCGAATTGATGTCTTTGCGATTTTATCTGTGATCAGGGGCACTGTGGAACTGCAGCACCCACAATTTCTACTTGATATTATCAATAACATTTATATAATGAGTCCTTTTTTCTTTAATTCTTTCTTTATACTTGTACAATACAATATATAATCCTTAAGCTTAATGTTAGTAGCCAAATCTTTGTATGGAACTGTGCGCTTCACAGTTCCAGTGGTGAGGTGTTTGTTGACTGTTGTCTGTTGTGCGCATGCGCGCACAGGAAGCTGCAAGGGAGAGAGAGCACTGTTGTTCCCGCAGTGCTGACCCTGGCGTGCTGGTGGAAGGTAGTTTTTTTATTCCGCGTGTGTTGGGCTTAAAAACCGTGTACCATATTCTTGAATGTGAGTTAATTGTAGAATTAGATTATTATCCTGCTTCCAGACATTCTATTCGAATCATTTTTTTCCGGTTCTTTTATTCAAGAGAAAACATTAACCATGGCCTCGCATCCCCAAGAAATAAGTTCTGTGACTGTAAGTGAACTTCATCAGCTTAAGTTTTCACAAGCGTCTCTCCATGAGAAAGTTGCAGTTAAGAAAAGAGGTCGTTTAACAACTGATATTCTAATATCTCAGCCAGGCATAAGCAAGAACAAGAAATATATTTGTAGCTTTAATTCTGAATAGTACAAATGGAAAAGTTGGCTTTGCGGCTGTGAAGTAAAAAACGCACTGTTTTGCTTCCAGTGTTTGCTGTTTGGGGGTGATGTAACGTGGACAAAAGATGGTTTTAGAAATATAAACAAAATGAAAGAAAAAACTGAAAAGCATAAGAAGTCAAAGAAGCATGTCGATAATGTAGTTTTACTGTCACTTTTAGGAACCGCAAGTATTAAGGAGAAACTTAGTGAGGCATACAGACTTTCAATCTATGAGCATAATATAAAGGTTAAAAAGAACCATGACATTTTGTCCGAAATAATAGACTGCATATTCTTTTGTGGAAACTTTGGAACTCCCTTACGTGGATATGATGAAAAAGACGATTCAATAAATCTAGGGGTATTTAGAGGATTAGTAAATTTTGCATCTAAATTAGATTCAGATTTGAAGCATCATAAGCACACGTAGTACAGACAAGCAGCGGCACCCACACAAGAAGACTACATTAAATAACACCTGTACAGTGTGAAAACAAGAACTAGCCGCTCCAGCACTTAGACAGAGGGCGAGTAACCCTAAGAATTTTAAATTTTAAATTTAAAATTTAGTGAAAAATTTTAAAAGGTTTTAAAACATCATAACTAAAGATTTTTAGAGTGCTACTACAAGAATAACAAATTTGACGTGTGCAACATAATCTACATACCAGACATATATCAACGATGTAGACGTTGATAATACGAAGAATGTGACATTGTGTTTTTAAATGTTAAATTTTAGACTTGGTTCAGTGTGGCAACAACGTTAAGAATAAACACCTGATGATGGCCGATAGAGGCCGAAACATGTAGTGTAGAAAGAACAAGATCAAGGACATATAATATATATTGTTTGCACTTGGGACGGAGTTTGTATCATTTATCGTGTAGAGTGCAACAGGATGCTTAAATATAATACTGTAAATATAATATTTGAAGCATCACTTAGAAACCAGTGCAGTCTTCACAGGTGTTTCTAAGACCATTCAGAATGAGATACTTGACTGCCTGCTACAAATATACCATGAGGAGATAAGGACGGAAATTAAGAAAGCTTCCTTTGTAGCTGTCATGGCTGATGACACAACAGATGTTTCGGAACACACTCAAATGGTCCTTGTTCTACGGTACGTATTGAATGGAGAAATAATTGAGCATTTCTGGGGATCCTTTATTCCAGAAAATCAAACTGCAGATGGCATATCAAAATGTATTTTAAAACAATTGGGCATAATCCTTCAAGGAAATGGACAAAAACTGATAGCTCAGACATTTGATGGTGCAAATGTCATGAAAGGCAAAATAGCAGGAGTTCAAGCAAAAATAAAAGCAGTTTATAGTAATGCACATTTCATTCACTGTTATGCACATCAACTTAATTTAATAATGAGAAATGCAGCAAGTATTACACGAAACGCAAGAATATTTTCTCTAACATTCTGGCTATTCCAACATTCTTCTCAAGATCGCCGCAACGTGTGTCCATTCTCAAGAAGCATATGGAAGTCAGCATTCCACGTCCATCTTCTACAAGGTGAAACTTCAATTTACGGACCATAAACAGAGTTCATGAAAATTTGCAACCTTTAATAAACTGCCTTCCTGAAATTCAGTCAACATCAAATGCAGATCAAACCACTGCAGAAGCAACAGGAATTTTAAAATACCTGAATGATGATAATTTCAAGTTTTGGTTAGAGCTTTTTCATCAGATTATGCCTCATGTTGAAATAATTTACAACCAATTAAATTAGTGTGTTTAAAGTTAATGAATATATAACAAATTTCAAAACTGCTATTTTAGAATTGAGAAACTCCGAGTACTGTGAGAATCCTTCAAAGACACTCGTGGCAGAAGCCAAGGAAGTGTGTGACTGTATATGTGTTGATATAATGGACAGATATTCTTCCACTAAACACTTAGTAGCTGCTAAACTGTTCAACAAGAAATGCTTCACTAGTTTTAAGAACGAATATCCCACAGAAGAGATAGTAACGACCACTGAAGCACATCCCATGATTGACAAAGAAAAGCTTGAAACTGAACTAAAAGTATTCTATTGTAGGTCTGATATTCATGAATATTGCACATTAATTGAACTGCTGAAATTTATCTTGGAAAATAATCTAGATGATGTTTTTAGTGAAATTACAGAACTGATAAAAATCCTCTTGACAGTTCCCATGACTACATCAGAGGCCTCTGCCTCTGATGAAGTCATGGGAACTGCTTTTCAACACTGAAAGAATAAAAACTTTTCTAAGAAGCACTATGAATTCGGAAAGACTAAATGCGCTTGCAGTGCTTTCAATGGGGAAAAATTTCCTCAGTTGTCATCCAGAGATCAAGGAGAAAATTACTGATCATTTTGCGCAAATTAACACTTTGCGGACTGGCAATTTAAATATTTAAATCACCCTGGGGACCGGCATATTTAAACCTACTACCCTAACTTGTGCACTGTTCACTTTTAAAATTAATATAAAATCTCCTAATTAATTTTATGAACTACAATTTTTCGAGAAGACTTACCAGTCCTCCTAGAAGTGCTTGAGAGTGTGATATTTCTGGAAACATTCCACTTTATGAAGTGGCATTACACAGAACTTGCACATGTAAACAGTCATACTCCTTTTGTTGTGAATTGCGCAAACACGGCATTGCCTAGAAGGCTGCTTCCCCTTGAAATGTTCACTCTTCACAATTTTCGCGAGGGTATGTTTCCGCATATCACCCGAGAGTTGCCCAGGGGGGTCTAAATGAGGCCTGCGTGGGGTGGGAGTAGACGGCCCCGTTCGTACTAAGACTGTGTCTGCCGCCACCATGTGGTCTGTAGCCCAGGCTTTTGCCACATTCAGCAGAAATTTCAATTTTGAATGAGGGTTTAGATTTTTGAAAACCAAAAATGAATTGAAAATGTCACAATTTATAAGCCACAAGGCAACTTTCTTTGTCCACTTTACTGTTTTCCGAGGAAGAGCATAATAGGCCAAGTACTGATCAGCTCTATCAACTCCCTTCACGAACATATTATACTTGGAAATACAAACAGGCTTCTTTACCTGTCCATGTCTCCTTTGAACATCAACCATGCTTGAATTGTAAATTGGGGAAATCATATTCACAACACAAGTATCCCTATCTCCAAAAAACAGTTCTGCTACTTCAAACACTTGCGTTGGGTCCGATGGCATTTGTCTCACCCCTGGATCACGAGTAAACTTTCCCAAAGTGGGTGTTCTGTCCAGTTTACCACATGTGGCTGTCCCTGCAATGCTAGCACTTGCACTTTCATCGGAGCTCTCACTGTCACTTTCACTCTCTCTTCTGGTCACAATATTTTGGGGGCCCCTGTCACTGTCACTGTCACTGCCACTGCCACTGCCACTGCCCTCGCTATCAGAAGACGAAGCAGTTGGCAAGTCAGATAACTCATCGGAGATCAAATCACAGATTTCTTCTTCTCCGAGAGCTCTTGCGGCCTTCAACTGCTTTCATCTCTGACCCATGTTGACACTTAGAATATCTTGCCTCACACATAAAAGCTTCAACTTGAACAAAGGGACTTTTCTTTAGAGTGAGAGGGGAATAGAGAGTGGTCCCGTTGCTGACTCGGAAAACACACATTCTGAAGGTCAGTTAGCAGTACTTTTACAGACACATGGCCACCAAAGCGAGGAATAGTGTGTTGCAACATAACGTGACCTAAAAGCCTAAATCTAGGCGACCGGTCTGCCATGTTTAAAACCCAAACGCCTAGGCCTACGTGTCCGATCCGCGAAGTGTTAAAACAAGAAGAATGGATTTCATTTTTAAATGAATAGATTAAGCTTGAACTATAACAATTTAGGTTAAAGTAGGTAAAAAATATTTGATTTTGTTCTTTTAGGATTTTAAAATATTTGATTTTGTTCTTTTAGGATTTTATCAAGTTTGTGAATAAATTTTCTTTTTATACATGTTTGTTTCCTTTTATACAATTTTAAAACAAAGGCTAGAAATTTTCTGGAGCAGCACCCCCACTAATTTTAGTTACGAGCGCCACTGTCTGTGATTGTCTTGTGACTGTTGTTTGACAAGTTTTATATTCAGTGCCAGATGCACACTTATGAATACTCTGAAACGCTGATGTATGTATGTATGTATGTATGTACATTACAATTCTTGCCACTCTTGTTGCAAGAGAATACAGAATCTTTGTAACCTTGAAACTTCTTTATCACATGAAAAATATCTTGTGGGGTTCACTATAATTAGCTTACAACAGTCCTAGTATCTTAAATACTTGATTCTAACAATTGTACCAGTAACTAACTGCGAACAGTTCCGCGACTCCCTAAGGATTTTTGCTGCAATAGAATTTCTCTCAAATACAGTTCAGTTTACAGAAAATTTAATTTCGTCTACATCAGAACTGCTTAAAAGGAAATGGAAGTGGTACATCACAAGCAGCATACATTCAACAAACTATAACTGTCTAGAGACACTTCAGAAAAAGGCCTTCAAAGGCGAGTCAGCAGCACAGTGGAGTTGTCCCATGTGCACAGACAGCAAGACAGATGGAGATGAGAAAGACAACTGGCATTCCCGTCTATCTGTGATATCTGCCTGACAGTGGACATACAGAAACATACAGCTCACCTCAGGTTCAGCATTCATCTCCTGAACTGTTATTTGCAGAGGATCCTCTTCCTCTTGTGAGTCTGAGACTTCCTCAGCTTTTATATTCATGGCCTGGCTTGCATCATGACTTGCTGGGTATGTCTCACCGTATGGACCCACTAGAACCGTCTCTGAATTTGTACAATTCTGTAAAGCGATCACATCTCCTGTCAGTCATGGCTGTACACCATCATACATGAAACAATATATGCTCTCCTTGCTGTGGCTGTTTCTCATTACATCTAACCCATAACAGTTGCTCTGCACAGATTTCTTCTCTACAGACTTCTTAATCTTAGCAAGTGTTAAGTTCATAATGCAGGGACCTTCCTGAGAAACCTGTGGTCCCTGTGGAAGTACAGACAATACGTATCTGCTCTTTATGAAACCTAAGCACTCATTACTGTATTCACACATGCCCATCATAACTTTGCATCCTGACACAAACAAACTCAGTCCAAAACCCCCATAATTGTACCTTTAAAATCCATCTCCAGAATTGTCTCATTCTCTCGGGCCTTCTGTCAAAATCTTTGTACGCATCTCTCCTTGAATTGATCCTTCTCCCACATAATAATGCAAAGTGTTATAATATGAAGAACCAAATAAACTCTCCAGATTAATTATAAAAACTAACACAAGCTTGGCATAAAAAGTTTAGTTTCTTATGAGGACTGACTGATGAAAATAAAATTGTCTGTGCACACAAGCACAAAACACTTACCATCCTTTCTGTCACAACAGGAAATGTTTGTTCAGCTCTCTGTAGCAGAATTCGCGGAATTTCTGCTGCAAGAGAATGCAGAATATTTCATAACATTGAAACTTTATCACACATGATACTTTGTGGGTGTAAAATGAATTAATTTACAAGAATCCTAGTGATATAGCATCATATTTCTAACAAGTATACCAGTACCTAGCTCTGAATATTTGCCCACGTCTGTAAGGAAACATACTAATTATTGTGAACACAGTGACGTGGACTTCTTTGTTCTCACAGCAGAGGGCGGCAGAGATAATGCAGCTCAGTGTCTATTACACGTTGTGTAGTCTAACAGATTGTTGCTCAGTTTTGAAGGCAGCTACGTCACCCGTTTTGAGTGAACCTCTTGCTTCCAAAACGTAAGTAACTGGCTACCAAACTGCACGGAGTTACATCCCAGAAACAGCAGCCTACTCTACAAATTTACATCGCTGTGCCGCAAAAATGTATCTGAATGCCTAGCATACATACCACACCGTCAGCTCTCACGACTTCCTTTATAAGTAGGATAGGTATGTGTAACATACGAGAAAGGGCATACAACAGTAAAAATGTGCATTCTACTAGTAACATCACCCTCATAGCGGGAGATGCGAAGTTTGGCAGAAACCCAACTAGAACTTGCAACAGCGAAATAACATCACTAATACCATAATTTGTCAACCTATGAGGAAACTGAATTTATATCGAATAATCTTAATGATTCCCTATATCATTCCCACAACTTACACACTTCCACTAACAACGTAATATCCGCTACCAACGATGGAAGAATTTGGGGTACTTGCGTGCACAATTTGCGACCTCGGTATCACAGCGATCACAGCCAACTCAGAGACGTCAGGGACGTCAAGGACACTCACAGACCTCAGAGAGTACTGAAAGGGCCGGTGTGCATGTAGTACTAATTTTGTGCAGCAGATGGATCTGCCAACAAAACCTGTTTATCATCTACCGCCTAGGCCGGATGGACATTGCCTAGGCCATTTTGTATTTACAATTATTTTTCCCCACAATAAAATTTCATCTTTCGCTATTCTCACGAAAATTGCAAATTCGGAGCAGATTGTTTTTTACTTCAATATTGGATGTTAAGATTTGGACGTTGAATTTTTTTAATGTAATGTCAATATCACAAACGACCTCTCGGAAGAAATCATTACGCTTTCTGTCTTTAAGATGTTTCAGTATGGACCTTTATATTGAGATGGGCGAGAACTTTTAAACGGAATCTGAGGCCTAAATCAATACTGAGGGGGCCTCAGAAGCGCAGTCGATATAGCGACACAGACAACTTCAACTTTTTCTACATAGATCATTGTCTTCTGGGATTCGCGCCGAGTAATTTCGTAAATTACACGGCGTCACCGTTTTATTCTAATCCTAAAGATGGAGACAGAACTTTCCTCTCAAACGTTAATGGAGGCTTCAGGTTCCTCCATACAGACCTCTAACAGATTACACGGCTAACATCCCATGATCTGACCTGAAGAAGGAGGACCCGAAACGTTTCCAGATATCTGTGAGGCACCCCACTCTTCTACAACAAACATGGAAGACTGGAAATTCCTCCGAAACTAAACTACACGATGTCACAATCACTATTCTATCCTGAAAAAAGGAGGAAAGAGTTTCCTTCGAAACGCTGACACCTGTGTACCAAACAGTACGGCCCCACAATCCCAGAAGACGACAGTCGTAATAAGAATCTCGCTGACTCGCAATTCGCAGTATATACGATCAGGGAAAGTGTGGCATACAGAACGACTTCAATGAAAGTCATGTCCCTCATTCGTGTTCCTTAATTTAAAATTAAGACTTAGGAATACATGATGTAGCAAGCGGCACGCGCAACAGTTCTGGAGGTCTTGTTGGCGAAGTCAGGTCGGTGTGCTGGGACAGATAGAGAATGCTCACGAGGTGGATACTAACTTCATAGTGCCCAAAACATCGAGTCATCTGTAATAATCTGAAAGGAATTTCTGCTTGATTCATTTGGATGACTAATTTGTGTGCACAGAAAACATCGCATTCACTGTAATGACATCTGAGAAAGTGTTTCTACTTTCTAGATTACCTCGGTGAGGCCTTTTTTATAACATAGCTTTTTCTGTTTTACGCCGAATGCTCCTGTATATTATATGTACACATGATTTGGTTAA